TTTTTCGTTGATGGTTGTTCGATCCTGGATCGTTTGTGATTCATTAATGATTTGCAACACATCCATTTTTGATTTCGATATTCCAACTGAATACGATGTTTTGTATTCATTTAACAATTCCATTTTGATCACAAAATAATTTTTTATTAAAATGGCTATGACGAAAAACCACGCGAACGATTGCAAACGATAGCACAAACATTAATGTCTAGGAACATCAAATACGGAAGATTAATGATTTTATCATTCAATTTCTTCCTTTGGCGTCGATTTCGCAATACAATGGGACGGTTGATTGATTTTGTCATGTCGATTTAGGCCCCAATGCTTGATGCCTTCCAAATGTTTTTCGATTACACTGCGTTTGCCCTTATTGGAATGTTGAATGGCAAAATTTAAATTATCACGGAAATTAGTTTGTCTTCTTCGACATCGGTGGTGGGCACTGGGCACTTCGTCGATCGATTCGGGGAACATCAGCAAACCGGCAGGCTGAAAATTATTTTATGTTCGATTAAATGCGTTCGATTAATTGTTTGTCGCCAATAACAAATTATATTACATTCAAAGTTGATTTTTGAAGATATCTTTTATAAATGTATACTTAAAAATCACAATAGAGATTTTATTTGGAATGAAACAATAAAATACAAAAAAATTACCATTTTTATTCTGAAAAAATATAAAACTTGCAGATTAGATCAACACAAAATGTTTGTTTGCTTGTATTTTTATTTATTTTGTTTTGTTGCTTCACATCGGCGAATTAATTTGACATTTGTGTCGAACTTCAAGTCAGTGTTTCCCGATGAATTCGCTTTGACAATAATGTCAATTCGAATTTGATGTTCCTAGACATTAATGTTTGTGCTATCGTTTGCAATCGTTCGCGTGGTTTTTCGTCACAGCCATTTCAATAAAAAATTATTTTCTGATCAAAATGGAATTGTTTAATGAATACAAAACATCGTATTCAGTTGGAATATCGAAATCAAAAATGGATGTGTTGCAAATCGTTGATGAATCACAAACGATCCAGGATCGAACAACCATCAACGAAAAAATCATCTTGCTTATGCTTTTTATGTGAAAAAATAGTTGTGTTTTCTCGATGTGTTTATGAATTCATATGTGAAATTTGCTAGAAATTGAAGAACTTTTTATTTCCAGTGCATAAAGTGGGCGAAATAACGCATAAACAATTTGATGTTCGTGAACATCAATATTGGTGACAAGCAAGCTTCACTTTTTTTCCACTACGAAGTACACGGGCGCTGTACCCATGTGGCTGCATGTCACGCCCATGGATTTTTCGAAAAGAAAATGCGTCAAAAAACATAGAATTGTTTTTGGTACACGTATCAACTTGAAACTTTCAGAATCTTATTTTTTTTACCAAAATTCATTATCTGGACAATATTGAACACAATCGAACAAGCTATTAGGGTACCCCAATGAGTGCAGCCATCATTAAAAAATTATTTTACTATGAAATAATAACTGAAACAACTATTACTTTGAAATTCATCAATAGCAATTTTCAAAGTTAATAGTTCAGTAATAGTCAGTATTAGCTGAACTTTGAGAATAATAGCGAAAAAAGCTGTGTTTGAGAGTTAAAGCTAGTCAAAATGAACAGCCCAAAAGTATGTAATATCAATTTAATAGAAAAGTAATAGAAAAACATGATGTACCCCTCGAATAGAGTGGAATTAGCTGTATGTATTACTTTTTCATGGTGTCATTTCATTAGATTTTCTTTGTAGCGAGAAGTGAACTTCATTTGACTTTTATCATTTTTTCGGTATAATGTCTGCAAATATTGATAATCTTTGACATCAGTCAATGTATCACTAACCAAGCTCAAAACTTTATTGGCTGTAATCAATTCAATCAGAAGAAGAGAAGAAAACTAATCGAACATGACGTAATGTGTAAACACAATGCAAAAACAATGATGATTGCAATTTATTTAGCGAGCTAATTCTATATTGTTTATCAGACCATTTTCGGAACTTATTATTGTTTGTATGGTGCAAAACAACAACAATAACAATAGCAAGAAAAATTTGAATACCTACGATACAGTCACGCACCCATCACCTAATGACATTTACTTCGAACCATGTAGCTCGCCTACTCTCTTATTCAATTATTTCATCGTTGTATTCGAGAGTAAAAACACATCCGTATGAAAACCAATACACTTTTTGTGCATGCTACTACTTCTTCTTCTTCACACTATCGTACACACAATCGTGCATAATGGAAGCGTGTATAGTGTATTGTCATTATTTCTTCCAATATGGCGACTTACAGTATGTGTTTAGAAGAAGAAGCAGTACCATTCCTCAGTTTGCATACGGACGTAAAAACAGTACCAATAAACAACAAGGTCACCCATCAATGGTATTTTTGTGCTCATTTTTTCATCTCAATCGCGTACTACATTAAATAAGCAAAATTCTCAATGGAGAAAAAACGGTTGATTTACATAATAAATCTTTTCAATTGAATTTACATGTTCGTTGTTTTTGATAGATTGAAATGCAATTTGGTGAGCCATTTTTCGGATTAGTCTACGCTGATTTTGACCGAAATAGCGCTTGTCAAACGGTGGGCAAAGGAGAAAAGATCGTCCAATTGGAACTTCCCCTGAAAGGATGTGGAACAATACAGGTGAAGTTTTTATTCAATTTACATACTTTTTCTACGAATGTGAATACTCAAATAATTTCCCCCTTTTAAGTACATATAAGTGTTGAACTAAAGCACAACCTGAAAATCTCCTACAGGAACCACAAAGAGTGTTCACAAACAATATCGTTGTACGTTTTCACCCCGGTCTTGAAATGGACGGAGATGAAATTATCACAATTGTTTGCCGATATCCACCGCCTGACGTTCCACTTCCAGTCCTACCACCTAAGCCGTAAGTATTAATAATGCCGCATTATAATCCTAAGCACATTCTTCTGGGAGCTTAGAAGAGATCAAATTTTTTTTTGAATAATTCCGATTTTTCTTTTTTCTTCAAAAATGAACAGAATCGGACCACCAATCAGTTCTGTTGTGGGGCCGCCATTGAAAGGCTCTCAACTGCTGTTCATCTTGTCTGCAATCATGTTTTTGACATTGATGTTGCTTGGCTTAGGTGTTTCGTATTACTGTCTGAGCCGACGACCAATTCCAGTCGTACGACGCTTACCAATGTCAATCGGATCTGGATCTGAAATCACGAAATTGAGCACACCACCGTTGGAAGGTTTGAAAGTACCACGTACTCATAAAGTCGTTGGTGCTGTGCCAAGCACTTCAAGCAGCGATGACACTGTATTGATTCCATCGGATTATCCAAGCGAATCACATTCCGATATTCCATCACTGGCAGCTAGTTCGGGTGGAACCTACGACAATCAAGCCTACATTCGAGATAATTCAAGCATTTACAGTGAACACTACGGCCGCACTGAGGAATTCCGAACAACCAACGAAGTTGCCCAGCAATCGATGGTTTCTCGTCTTCCAATCGCTATTAGGGAACCATCGCCAACATTCGATGTGCAAGTGCGAGTAAAACGGCCAGCACCACCAGCACCTCTATCGTCAATCTCATCAGACACAGAAAGCCTAGCGCCAAGCATTGTTGAACGAAATAATTTGTCAACGATAATAGAAACATACGAAGACCGCGAAAGTGTTATAATCGATTCAATGCCACAAGATGTTGTACCCAGTCGAATCACTTATGAACCCGAATTGTATCCAATTACTCGATATGAACACCCACCGATCACAACTGTTTCGAAAACATACAAAGAAACAACGGAAGAACACTGGGCTGAAGATTATCCTGATTCCGTGCCACCGGTATCGATTCCAGACACTCGAAGTGTTGTTTCGACTGACACCAGACACGATATACATTCGATCACTGAAATGGTGGACACAACGCATTTGTATCAATCGACAGATCTGCCAGATGAAGTAGTTGAACATTTGCCCGAACCGCCAATCGTTGCACGCAAACCGGAAGTCACCTCACAGCTTGTCGACGATGTATTCTTACGCACAATTACCGAAAAGTCAACCGTTGAAGACATCGAGAATCATAAGCGTAAGATCACTGAATACAAGGCTAAGCCAGCACCGAGTCCAACGTGGGATGTTACAATTCGTAACCATCCAACTCAAGACAAACCTCAATGGGAAGACTTTTCGGATATATCAAGTGCTCCATCGGTTCAAATTGAACCGGTTAAATATACGCAGCCACCTCAAACTTATATCGATGCAACTGGCGAAAAACTTACTAGCCCTGAGCTTGTGGGCAACATGAAACCGATTGAAATTCCACCCGAAGACAAATCCGTGCCCAATTGGGACGTATTGATTCGTATTCTGGAGAATCAAGAAGAAACAACGGAGGAAATTTCAACAACGACAATGTCAAGACCTACGCCAGTGCCAGGACCAGCGACAGCACCAGCAACAGCTACAGCACTAGCACCATCTCCAATTCCAGATGATACCAGCTCAACGCATTCGCAAACTAATCGACATATTTTGCAACACCAAATCAGCTACGATGATAAGATCAAGTGGCGCGATATCATCACCACTGAATCTACCTTGAGAACGATGCTCACTGAAGCTGTTGTTCGCGAAGACTTTGAACGTATTCGAAGCGATACGAGGTACGAAACAATATTCGAACCACAAACGTGGGATGTGATCATTCGTATCTTGGCGCCGCCAGATGATGTTGATTTACGATCGCCAAAACTCAACCGCAAACCATGGGATTTAAGATCACGCCGTAGTTCATTGCCAACTTTGTACGAATACGACAGCGATGGTGGTTCATCGGTTCGAACCATTCCACAAGATATGCTTCCGATGGGCAGCTCCAATACCTATCACTACCCACCACAGTTACGAAGAACATCACGCACTTCATACAATTTTGAAAATGTTGACATACGATCGATGACTGAAGTTTTAGTTGACTTTGGCCGTCCCGAAACGGATAACGTGTCTGATATTAGCTCATACTATCCAAACAGGTTTGTTAATATTTTGAATGGATTTTTACACACAGAAAAGAATCCCCGGAAATTTTGGGTGTTCGCCGTAAAATTTGACATTTATATATAAATTTCTATATACATTTTACCGGCAACACTTCAATTTTCCGGGCGATGACATATTTTCGAACATTTTATCAAATACTATGTATATTTTACCGCTTGAAATGACAGATGGCGCTAATTTCTGTTGGAATATTTGAAATTATGTCATCACCCGGAAAATTCAAGTGTTGCCGGTAAAATGTATATAGAAATTTATATATAAATGTCAAATTTTACGGCGAACACCTAAAATTTCCGGGGATTCTTTTCTGTGTGTAGATACTTTCAATTCATTTGGGAATATTTTCGTAACTGTGTGATTTTATTCAATCAGTTTTCATCATTGAATTCGTAATTAAAAAGAGTTTGACTGTTTTGAACTGAAAACGACTTTGTATTTTTAAATTCTTCCTGCTTTGATATTGATTTTCTGTATTTTTCAGATATTACGATGATGATCCATATGACAGACGATCAATTCACCGTTCGTTGAGTCAACCTAGTCTCGCTCGTTCAGCGACCGACTTCACTGAACGTTGGGCCATTCCAGATGATGTGTCCGATGACTCAGAATCGCCACGAAATAGTAATCGTTTGGTATGTATCGCACACTTTTGACTACCATAGGCCTACAATTTTGATTTTTTTCCCAAGTAATTCTGGATTTTAATCATTTGGCTTAAATCTATTTGTAGGTAACGTTCCGACCTCACGTACATCGCCCACATCATGTAACCACCGAAACTCAGTACATTCAACAGAGTTCGTCATCATTCCAAGCAACGAGTACCACATCGCCACCGAAAGAGTGGTACGGTGATAGCTCAAAATAGATAGTGCAAAGGAACACTCTAACAAAAGAGAAAAATTTAACCAGTGACGAAGTGCCAATTGAGATTGTAGTCCATTTAGAAACCGAAGCGAAATAATTTAATCAAACAATCAAATACATAGTTCTTTTTTCTTCAATTCACTAGTCCACGAATGTGCGGATTTAATTTTTGAAAAAAATAGTGTCCATACCTATAGCTGTGACTCGTATATATATTTCCTTTTTTATATGAAATTCCGTTCTCTAAAATATCTTTAGTTCGTCCGAAAAAATGGATTTTAAGAACCATCCCGTTTTCTTTTCTTTAATTGTATTAACGGAATGCTGTGATAAAAAATCAGCCAACCAAACGAGATAGATGGTCAGCTACGGCTGACGCTCGTTA